CTGGAGAGTTGGAAATATGTAAGAATCTGTCTCTGTCCCCTGGAAACTGTAACTTCTGTTCTTGCGGGAGGAACACCTGTAACTCATATGCTGTCATTATAATCTCTTGGAAGTACTGTCTTGGGGAGTACTAGATTTTAGATGGATTCTGACTGTTAATAAAATGGACAGCCATATTCTAGAAGAGATGTTTTCTTTCCTTCTCAGATATTTCCATATGAGATGCTCATGGTGACCAACAGAGGGCGCAACAAAATCCTAAGAGATGTGGACAGAACCAGGCTGGAGGTAAAAATTTAAATTTAAATTTAAGGGAGAGGAGAGGGTTAGGAAGAAATTGATAAAGGGCCACAAAAAAATGTTTCCATTGTGTAATGATAAAATAAAATGATCTTACAGTTAAAAATAAGTAAATAAAATTCAAAAAATAAAAATAAAATTTAAATTAAAAAAAAACAATCCAGTCCCAATTGCAGATCCCTATGCATTCCCCCCACCCTCCCCCAGATTTCTCCTAAGAAATGTTTTATTTCTTCAGTGAAAGCAAAAAAAAAAAAAAAAGCTCACCCTCATACTGTAGGTAGGACTAAAAGATGACTTTAGAGGAAAATCTAAATTTACACTTAGATCAGCATAAAAGTGCCTGGTAATATCCAGAAGAGCCACCCAGGAGATGCAGTATGATTTTAATAATTTTCTTGAGAAAGAAAATTATATATATATTTTTTTGGATGTTGCCATAATTCTGGCTGGTGATGCAGAAGTGGAGTCTCTGTCCCTCTTCAGATGTCCCAAGATATCCTCATCTCATCTTCCCCTGAGCCTGGGTTGAGTTTTTTGTTGTGTTTTGGGGGGTTGGAGGGTGGTGCTGAAGGAGGGGTTCTCAAGAAAGAGGATTAAGAGGTTTACACTGGACAAGTTTCTTTCTTGGCTGCTTCCACATTCCTTGTTGAAGGGTTATCTGGGTACATATACCCAGACCTCCTTAGACACGGAAGACTGATCTTTGTACTTTTCCATCTGAATGATTTTAATTAAGAAAAACACAGGCTGCCAGTCATGGAAAGAATCATTAGTTTTTCCTGACAAAAGGCAGTGCCTTTGTATAAGAGGTTGGGCTGGCGCAGAGAATAAAGGCTCCAGTATCATAAGGGAGCTTTTCTAGAAGCGATGACAGATGGGAAGTCTCCGCAGTAGACCAGGCTGAGCCAGGAAGAAGCCCTGGGCTCCCCAAAGATCACTCTGAATGTCTTTCTCTTTGGCTTACTATTGCTATGGTCCATTTTCCCTTCATCTTTTTAACATCCCAAGGACCTGAAGTGGAGTCACCTCCAGCATAATAAATCACTTTTCTATGCCCCATCACCATTCGTTGTTACTATAATCATCATCATTAATACTCTGCCAGCTCTTTTGTCTCATGGGAAGAGCACCTCACCTGGCTTGACCAGGTAAGGAACACCGGGTACAGTACCTGGGGACACGCATTAGAGGTGAACTTCACCATCATTCTGCCTTGCTCTTCAGAGTGATTATTTGTACACTGACAGCAACTCTCAAGGCCATCGATGTGGCCGTCAGGGCTAACTCCTGCTCTTTTCTCTCTTCCCAGCGCCACTTAGCCCCTGAAGTGTTTCAGGAAATCTTTGGAATGTCCATACAGGAGTTTGACAAGTTACCTCTTTGGAGACGCAACGACATGAAGAAAAAGGCAAAACTCTTCTAGATCCCACATGTAAACAGAAATTAGAAAAAGAACTGACGCTGGCGGTGATGCATAGGATGTCGTATTGAGGCCCAAACTTGATTGGAGAATTTGCAAACTACCATCCCTCAGCAACAGCAAAAAGGGAAAGTCTGGGTAAAGCACCCGTGAGCCAAACATTGGGCCAACCAAGAGTGACACTTGCCAAGAAGCAATGGGGTATAAATGTCTGTGTTCCCAAACTCAACAGTGGTGTCCACATGTGACCTTTTCACATGACCTGATGTATACGACAGGAGCTACTTTCTTTCTTCCTTTGTTTTCCTTTAACTGTTGTCCAACAATAGAGCTGACTGTACGGAAAAGAGCCAGCAAGTGCCCTTAGGATGCCACATGGGAAAGATCAGTTGTAATAATTCTGAAGTCTGAGTAGATTTATCAGGCAGCACTGTGGCTGAGAAGGAAGAGTCTGGGGTCACCTCCGGTGGCAGCCACAGGCCTTCACTCTGCAGGAATGGAAGCCAGCCAGGGGAGCGGGCGGCTCTGCAGGGATGGGCTGAATATCAGTGAAAACCATTGGTAGATGGCTCCTTGTTCTCTACTGCTGGATGGGACCTGATTGGCAAATCACTTAGCTATCATTACAGTTTGGGGGAAACAGAAGGAAAAGGCATGAAAGGAAACCCTTCCTTATCTCTTCCTGCTTCAGACAGTGTGCTTAATTCTTCCTCCCCACCAAGGATGGGAGCTGTCTTGGGCTCCACAACTGCAAAGAAATGAAAGACAAAAATTGTCTTGATTGTCCCCATTGCATGCTGTTAGGTGATTTTTGCCCCGGGGGCCATACCACTCTTGGCAAAAAAAAAGTTCCATGGCCTACCAAGGCAAGTTTTTCCACTTAGCATCCTCTGCCCTCTATCCGGCATCCTATGAATCAGATCGAGCCCACACTGGTTTTGTTTTTTAAGGTCTTTTCAGTAATAGGCTAAGGAAAGGCACGTTTTTCTCTTTTATATTTCTGCAACTCCAAAGCCAATTCCTTCAAACAGATTTACTTTGGCCTTTTCAGCTTTCCTTCTTGCCTAGCACCGTTGACTTCATGATTTGTGTGTATGTGTTTTCAACTCACCCAGAGTAGTTTTATGAGTCTGCATGTGCTTTTTAATTTCTGCTTGAATGTTTGTCCCACTGTACTGCAGGTTCCAAGGGACATTTGCCCAAGTGCACGTGACTCAAAGGTGAAGAGTGAGGCTAATCTTCCAACTTCCCCTCCTTCGTGGATGGGTGCTGGTGCCTAGAAGCCAGCTCACCCCATGTGCTCATGTAGCTCACGGCAGTATCAGACTGAAGACCACAGAGGTAGGATCGGGCTGGGGAGAGGTCAGAGCCTCTCATCAGAATCCTCAAACCCTGCAGCACTAGATTCAAATTTGAGCCTGTTTCACCAAAACATGCATGTAAGACCACATCATGATTCCTGATAAGAGTCAGATGAGGGAGAGTCTCTCCAACTTCACACACAGGAGGTTAAGTCACATTTATTCTCATTGCTCTGGAGCTCTGCTGAGGAATTTAAGCTCTGTTTTTAAAGCCAAAGGAGAAAGCTGAATTCAGCTGCATATGCCGCTGAGAACAAAAGCTCAGAAACTCTTCCTGCTGGCACCAAGTCCTAGACTACTAGCTGTCTATCTAACACCAATGGTAAAAAGCAAGTAGAATAGTTTCTGAACCCACATTGCAGGCCTCTGACTTGTGACTCGCTTCTGTCTGGGTGCTGTTGCGAACGCTATTGCTTTATAGGATTCTCCTGTGCTCTTTCTGAAAGCATCTAAATTTGCCCTTTCAGTGCTACGTGCTGAATGTTTGAGGACTAGTCTCACAAATACGTGTGTGCGCGCGCATGTGTGTGTTGGCCGACTGACATATTTAGCAAGTGGCTCTGATAGTGTGGCCCTGAGCAGATGCGACCAGCTCCTGCTTGTTCTGATGCCAAACCACAGCTCACCATTTTGCCCCTTCGTGTTTCAGTTCCCTCTTGCTTCATTCCGTATTGTCACTGTCCCTTCCTCTCTTTGCCCTCTCCTGCTCTGGCAGCCTCAGCACAATGCCTGTGTCCCCCAGTCCTTGTTTTGCTCTGACAGAGCATGGGGACAGGGACTCTGGTGTCCTCCCACTGTTTCTCTATGGCAGTCAGTAACAATGTGGCCAAAGGGTCCCAGAAGTTGGCTGGTGGAGAGATTATTTTCAATATGGAGATAATAAAGGACCCCCTTCCCTGCCATGGTTTTCATAGGCTAATGAGTTATCCCCCATGCACCTGCAGATCAAACACCAGTGTAAGAAAGATCAAGGCTCTTGGCAAACATGGGCACAATCAGGTGGTTTTGCTAAAATCCCTATCTCTTGGTCCATGTAAAGAGGGCATGGCTCTGTCAGAGAATAGGGACATTAGACTGAAAAAAGGGACAGTTCCCCTCTTTATGTTACAGAGACCCAGAGTTAAGAGGCCTGCCTAAGATTGCAATGATAGTTCAAGAAGTGAATCCTAGGTCTGCTTCTACTGATGAAACCCTGCTTTTCTTATATTTTTTGAAGTCAATTTTGCATCTAACTTGGGAGTAAAAAAGCCGCTTTCCATTTCAAGTATATTAGTTAATTTAAACTGCATTGTGCAAAAATGCATTGCCAGAAAATGTCAGTAGCCTCCTGGGGAGGGGTCACTGGAAACCGTAATGCAGAGTGGGCTCCCCACTGATTGCCCAGCAGAAGGTCCAGCTGGAAGAATGGGGCATGGGCAGCCTGGTTCTCCTAACTGCCAAATCGAATGTATGGGCCGCATGCCCTATCCATGTTGTTAAACTGGGCTCAGCATGCTTGTCCTGAAAATGGCCAGGCCACAGTACAGGAGATGGTATTCTCCACTTTAACCCCGCCCTGCACTATAAAGGAAAATTCTAGTTGTTTTTTGTTGTTGTTGTTTTTAAAGATGACCGGTAAGGGGATCTTAACCCTTGACTTGGTGTTGTCAGCACCACGCTCTCCCATTGAGCCAACCGGCCATCCCTATATGGGATCCGAACCCATGGCCTTGGTGTTATCAGCACCGCACTCTCCCAAGTGAGCCACAGGGCCGGCCTGGAAAATTCTAGTTGTTACCACAGCTAGAGCTTCTTGACTCTAGGAAAGGTATTCTATACATGGCAGGCTTCTCTGGTGCATGTAGAAAGGGCTACGTTTTCAAGCATTTGACTTACTTGTGATTCTAAGCGCATACTGATTGTATGAAGTAAAAGAGGCCTCCATGACAATACAAAAGTCTGCTTCCTTTAAAATCGCTTCAAGAGAACCCAGGCTGTGAGGTGGTCTTCCTGCGTGATTTCTTAGGAGATATGATGAGCATCTGGAAACTTGTGCAGACAGCTGTGCATCTACTTTTGGTTTGGGGTTAGTTATGAAATGTTCTTAACATGACTTCTTCAATAATTAAGCTGCCTATTCTCTGAAACCTCACAGAGAAAAACTAGAGTTAATGAATAATAAGGTGCAAGAAACAAATGGTCGTTTTCTATCCACCCTGTCCTCTAGTCTCCCCACCCCCCGATTCTGTTGTCACATGCCGAGCTTCCTCTGCCGAGGCAGAGGCTGGAGTGGTCCCTTTCTCTGCTTTCCTCCCCTCCATCCCAATCTGGTTTATCAGTCAACCCTAACCTGGAGAGTCTAGCTGGTAATGTTTCTAGAACTTTCACCTAATTTCTTTACACTTGGAAGCCAACATCTTTTTCTAAGAATTGCTTTTCAAATGGTTATATGAAATGTATATGCTTTTGCAAATTAAAAAACTTCAAATTTAACCCCTTTTGACTAGGTAAGTCTTTCTAAAAACTATTCAAAGCAAACGTGGTGTTGGCACACTCCGGCAGGTGGAGGGGCAGGCTCGGCTCCAGGCTGTGTGCTCACAGAGCCCTTTTTCTGGCTGTCATAGAAGACGGTGGAAGGAAAATATACTGTCTCATCAACCCTTCTGTGTCCTCTGAAGCAAGCTCAGTTTTTATAAATCACCTTTTCTGTATTTCTGGTAGCTATTTAATCTGTACTTCCTCTGCCAGCCTTGATTTTATTTGATTTTTAAAAATATTTTCTTTTGACGATCCAAGTGTTTGCCACTATGCCCTAAACCTCACTTTTGAAGAACTGTCTGTCCTGAAAAAGAAATAATTTAGGACTTGAGATTTGCAGTGATACCAACTTATCATGATGATGTATATTAAGGGAACCAGCCAACCACATGGTGAGAGGAGAGAAACCTTCACTTTGGCATTTCAAAAAATCACTATCTTTCTGTTTGCTACTCAGGAAGCAGTGGGAGATGGTGACTGATGTGCTTTGCATATGGTTTGTGATGCTTTTATTTGGGCAAGTTGAATTTGTGGCAAACCCAAAAAGAGGGAGGTGGTTCATTGAAGCTAAAAGAAACTTTCTGAACAATGTATGTGTACACAGCAAAATTAAACAAATCCCACATTTTCTGAAGCTTGGTGTAATTGAGTGGTGGTGGTGATCATTAAATAAAATTCTTCCCCAAAGTGTCTCTCCCAAGAGTGAAGTTCCCATGAGGCACTTCCTGAACCCATGGCCAGAGGTGGAAAGAGACAATCCTGTATCCACCGCCATCCAGAAGGACGGTGAGCAGCTTGCTGATTATATATGCACACGTTTCTCCACTTTATGGAAAGGAAGCAATGGTCCCACCAAACTGATGTTCTTTTGGGGTTTTATGTACAGACTGGTCCGTAGTGAGTGTGCACAGTTTCCGTGAGCTGCTGCTGACTCCGTATCGACATGCTCGCAGTGCTTTCGTTTCAAGCTGGGTTTATGGGATTTTTTTCAAATGTTGGAAGGCGTACACTTCTTCCTGCCTTCCCTTCCCTTTGGGAAGTATGAAAGCAAATATTTAGAAGAACTCCTTTTGAAAGCTGTGTCGTGTTCCCTGTGAAGTCGAGTGGGTATGCGTCCGCGCCCTGCGTACCCTGTGCTTGTGTGCAGAGGAGGAGGTGGCCTGCGGTCCCCATGCTGCTGGCTTTCCGGTCCCCGCCCCATGCTCCCATTGCAAGCAGCACTTCCCGCGCTCCCTCACCTCTGACCTCTGCATCACTGGTGTACTCAACTCGGTGAATAAAGTGGTGTGCTTTATTCGTGAACGCCTTTGTAACTGTGTCTCATTTCTTGTCCTCATGCTCCCTTTGAAGGTTTATCCCACTTTAAAAGTACCCACCCAAGTTCCAAACACCAACACAAAATCAGAATGAAAGCAAAGTCTTAGGAATGCACTTTTAGCACATAGGTTGGAGGAGGAAATGCAGCAAATAGCAACGGTGTATTCCAGGACTGTTTGTTCGATAATCCAGACCACGTTGGTCAGTAACCAAGATGACTAAAGAAAAAAAGAATTTAACACGACAAGCATACAGAAATTACATTGTTGGGTGGGAGTGGGGAGAGGGAGGATGGAGGGAGGTTTTGGTAATGGGCCACAATAATCAACCACATTGCATATCGACAAAATAAAATTTTTAAAAAAAGAAAAGAATTTACTAGAGCTGTTACACTGTGCTGGTGCAGCTGGTGTTTGATTTGTTTGTGACACAGAGCAGCAACAGTGTCATCATTTAGACAGAGCCAGGGACTTGAGGTTTAAGGACAAGAGCTTCTGAGCTACCGTGTGTGTTGGCTGTATAAGTAAGTAGCTAGAATGCAATAGAAAAGCATCGTTCAAATCTTTGACCTCCCATGCACTATCAAACTTTACTTGAAGAACATCTCGATTTCAACTTACTTATCTCCACTGCCAAGATTTTAGGCTTGCCAGGAAATACAGGATCTGTACTCAAGATGGGCTACCCTGACCGAAGCCTTCATTCTATGCATCTGTCAAACCTGTCCAGGGGCCAGTCACACATTCACGTGGACCCTCACCTGGAAGCTGGACACAGGTTATTCTCAAGACAGTTTAGTTCACTACTGTAGAAAACAGGGCAGTGCTGATAACACCAAGGCCAAGGGTTCAGTTCCCTATACAGGCCAGCCACTAAAAAAAAAAAGAAAACAGATTGGGAGTCCTGGCTTGCAGTGTGTGTTCTGCTCACCTCTACTTCCACCTATACCAGCAGCCCCACTTTGCTCCGTGACTCCCACAGCCAGTGCTGATCTTCAGTCCTCATCATGAGCTCTCTGTGGCATTTGGCTCTGGTGACCGCCATCGCATTGGAAGTTGACTCCTGCCTCATTTCCATAGCCAGCCCTTGCTCACTCACTGTGAAGTCTACATGCTTCTGCTGGAGTCCAGGGACCTTCATGACCAGTCTTCCTCCCCCTGCACAGCTTCCCCTCCCACGATGCCCCACCTTCATACCTCACCCTCTGCCTCTTCCAAACCACTGCAAGTTTCCAAGCATGCCATGCCCTCTCCCTCCACTGCAGCCTTGCCCATGACATTCCGTCTGAAGGTGGCGAGTGGAGAGGGTCCATCCCCAGGGAAAGGAGGAGATGGTCATTGTTGACTCTTCAAAACTAGTCGCTCATCAGCCCTTTGGAGTTAGCCATGTGAATTTCCCACAGGCTCCATTTGCCCTAAATCAAAGACCAGTCTAAGTTCACGCCCTTGCTAAGAGCCTGTGTTGATGGTCCCAGCCCAGCCAGCCCCAGTAAATTCTTTTCATGCTTATGGTTGAACCTCGC